GTTATGCTCAACGCCCCAAGGATGTCTCGAAGCGGCTAGCTGAACCCTTGACAAGTGCTCCTGTCAGGAAAGCCATTCAGATGATAATTACATTCAGGAAAAACAAGAAAGTCAGCACTGCCACAATATGATAAAGCACTGGTCGAAGCAACTGAAAAGGTTATTAACCAGAAAGAAGAAGTGCCGAATTATCAATTACAAATGGCCCAAGTGTATCCAAAAATTTCATCTTTACAAAATAAATGTGTCGTGATAAAACTGTAGGTTGCATTTTGCGAAGAATCTAGCAGACAGCCCAGCGCCAATAACTAAGGGAAAGGGTGGGGGCGCAAAAGTAAAGCATTTCGTAATATCGTTTCTTTCTTCCATCTTCATTACAAAGCGCCACAGCTTATCAAATTAATAAGAAAAGACTTAATGTAATTTAGCTTTTGTATTTCTTCCCAAGAGTAGCACATGGCGGGAATGTGCTGATTTCTTCAGTGCTAACCCATCAAAACTCATTAAAAGTGTGTGCCTCGGAAAATAAAGCCCAGAAGCTTGTGTGATTATCAGAAATTATTATGATAATACAACAACAATTCCCCATCCAAAGAACAAACAGCTTCCTAAATCCTCTCCAAAAAAGTGATGCAAGACCAGGTTTTTTCAGAAAACTCACCATTTGGGATTGTGAGAACGATCCATCCTTGCTTCCACACATAGTAAATTGTTTGAAAGACAGTCATTGATTTGCCAGTGCCCCATCTTCCCCACAGCACCATACGTAAATTGGGTACGTTTACTCCCACTGCCTTAAAAACTTCAATAGTCAGTTTATATGTCCGTGAATTCAAGAATTATAAAAAATAAGCATAACCGTGCCCCCCTTGCCTCCCACCCATTTCATAGATTACATGCAAGCGCGCAAAATCACAGTGTGATAAGCAAAAAACCAACTTTCAAGCAGTTAGTTGCTTCGAGGGTTGGACGCCGGTACAACCAAACACACTCGTCCAATGTATCCACTTGTTTCCGGAATTTCGGCGGTAGCATGTTCCGATAATACAGTGTATCGATGTCCTCATTGCTCACCTGATAAAGCTTACCAAAATCTGCTGAGGACAAGGCAACCTAAAATTTTTGGACATTGAAACTGATTCAATGAAAGTTAAAAAGAGCGAAGTATTTCAATTTGCCAGGACAATGAAATTCCGAGACTTTTTTAAAGAAAGGCTTTAACATTAATGATGTGTTCAGTTCTCTTGCTCTGGCTGGTCAAAAAAATTTTATCTGTGCTGAAAACTGAGTCAACT